GCAGAACTCGCAAAGGGGGCCACGCAGAATGGCACAAGAAATCCATCCAAGTTTTCCTGTCTAGATACAGAACTTCTGTTATCTTTCAACAAGATAAAACAGCCATGGGAAGAGATTCGCTCAATTTAGTGCCTGAAATATGTACTTACAGATGTTTCTGGAAAGTCAGCAGGATGATTTTAAACCGCAGATTTCAGAAGACAGAGCGTAAGACATGCAAGATTTAGTCTGACCTCAAAATTCAAGGTTTAAAAATTACTAGATTTTAAAACTGAGCATCATTTTTGGAGGTATCACTTTTAAGTGAACAAGTGACAGCGTTCTATAGACACCATTTTGCAGCTGCAGACAGGCAAAACAGACACTAAAATCTCAATTAGGAACCAAATTATCCAACTGGGATGCACAATATTGAAGGATTTCAGTATAAGATCAAAACATTCAGACAGATTAATTGTGCCAGTGTTGTTTTCCTACTTTTAACAGAACTCTCTAGGTAGACAAATTAACATTTTTCAGTTTGTAAATTTACAAACAGCTACCCAATTATGGAGACTGGGGAGTTAAAGATAATAAAGGATTTTACAGGGGCTTAGTCATGTGAGTTCTACTTCAGTTTTGCTGTGCTAGCCCCTTTTAGCACCACAGAAGAACAAATCAAGGTTTTACTTCCACTGCAAGGCAATATCAAGAACACAAAATGCTGACAATATGCTGTTTTATTGCTAATAGAATTTGCTTGCATACAGATCTGGGGTTTAACTTAATGCACTCTTACTGAAAAGATTCTGTGGGCCCTTCAAGATAATTTTTGTTAGCATTTTATTTATTTAATAAATGCTTGAGACAAACAAATGAGAATATTCTGTATATAATTTTTTGTTTATGAAACTTAGCAGGAATATTTCATGTTTGGACCATTAATAAGAAAAAGATACTGCTTTGGCACCTCAATTTCTGTTTTCAAAATAAAGACATTTTCAAGCTATTAAAAGGGCCGCTAAGTGAAGCCTTGTACTCTGTAGGGAGTCCACAATACAATAGTCTTTTGTCTGAGAAAACCCAGTTTTTCTGGCAATAAAATATCATCTGGTTTCTTTCTCCAGTTTCTTTAATTTTACTGCATGCTAAGCAGTTAAAGCATATCCAACATGCTGATGCTACTTTGTTTTACTTCATTGTGCGTCAGCTTCAAGTCTCTTGTCACAGTTTGAGGAATAAAACTAGCTTTTCAGAATATATCAGGAGTAAGAGACTCTCCCCCACTCACACATTAAATCTAAACCAAATCAACAGAAATTATCCATTAAAACTACATACAAAGGTGACTAGTTATCAAGCTGAAATTCAGTGGCAAATCAGAAGTATTAATTAGGTATAACTTCTATTGCCTTGCTCTCCAGACCTTTGGACCTAGATTAAACAGCTCCCATTCCACCTCGGAGAAGTTGCAAACATTGCACACCTAGGGCAGGCTGTGGCAGGAACGGCAAAGGAGGGAGGATTAGTTGCAAGCCCCATCCTTTGGCTTGTAATGGCTTGATTCTGTTATCTTTAGAATCCAGATCAAAACAGTCGGTCTTTTTTACGGCTGAGAAAGTAGACCTATTTCTACAACAAATAACCTGGCATCAAACAGCTGAGAAAATTAACTAGTTCACACTGCAGAATAAAACGATTTTGCCATGGCATAAAGCAGCCTTTTCCTGTTAAACATCCAACAGGTTCAGATACCTGTAAGCTCAACCTCTTTTACAGAGCAAATCCAAACACAGTCGGTGCTTTATAAACACTTTAGGCATATCCCCAAAAGCTATAAAGCATCTGACAGAGACTTTAAGGCAGCCTTACTATTTTACTCAGAATTAGAAATCTGAGGGAACCATTTTTCTTTACTGAGAAAAAAAAAAAAAAACCACACAAAAAAACCCCAAAAAACCAACCAAAAACCACTGCCCTGTCTGAAAGATGCTTCCAAAACAGGAAAACATTTTAAATGCATTTTATATCACCAAATTCCTCTTTCACAACCTATTAAAATAATGAAAGCAAATGCCACCATGGGTACTGGTCAGATTATTGCAAGACTCAAATCATATTATTTCTGTTTATTTTCCAATATTTACTAAGAAAAGAGCTTGTCCTGATACATTTAGTCACAAGTGGGTCGTCTTCATTGTGTCTCCCAGTGCCATATATACATTTCTTATTCTAAGAATTTATACAGAGGATTGATGAGTATTGGTAAACACACAGGGATGGACATAAAGGCTGAAGCCTTCAAATGATGCAAATGTGTTTAATCTAACACCATTACTTTTTTTTTTTCAGCTATCTCACATTGAGAACAGTCCATTTGAAGACAAAAAAAATTTCCCCAAAAGCTAAGTACACTTGGAGTGGAGTTCAGTTCACCACATGTGGCAAAAAGGTAACAGGCAGTGCTAATTCATTAACAAGTGACAGATGAGAAACAGCTGGAACTTTACATATGCTGCAAAAGCAGTTTGAGCAGTTTGTTTAGCTGGTAAAATGGAAAGTGAAAGACTGAAGAAATCAAAGAATATGGTTAATCACAAATTACCAAGATGAGTATTTAAGTCACTATTTTCACAAAGGAAAAAAAACAATATGAAAAAATGGAAGATAGGGAAATCTGTACTTAGAGTAACATGTCTTGAGGAAAACCGATTTTTGGAACAATGAAGGAGAAGAATCAGAGAGAATGGTTTTTCAAGAAAAATGACCTAAATTAAGCAACATTCCTATGTAAGGATCAGGAAACACCTTCTGCCCTGATAGGCTTATGCAATCCATGAACAGCAAATATCCCACAGACATCAACACTGGGATTACAAAGGAAAAGAAAATTACCTCAGGAGTTTCTCTTGGAACCTTCTCTAACACTAGAAACAACCGGTAGAGAATCCTAGATTGAAGCGGTAATTTTATATAAAATCGGAAAACAGACAGAATGGGTAAAAGGATGGGAAAGGGGAACTTTAATTATGAAGAGAAGGAGACAGGTAGAAAGAAGAGAGAAGCATAGCTGTAACAAGATTTGTTACAGGAATAATTTTAAGCAATATGAGCTAATGAAGAGAAAGGAAGGAGTTGCAGTAAAAGTGATCTTGAATGTCAGCTAGGTTGTGTTCACTGCCTCAAAGCACACTGTTTCTGCAGTTGTCTTCAGAAAGTCACCACACCTAGACTAGAATTCTAGAGCCAGGCACACCTCCCGGTAATTTCAGACATTTGGTAAATGTCAAATGATGTGTGTAATATTAAATAATGTGCATATTCTAACAAATGTCATTGCACTTAAAATTTCACTTCACACTCCATGACATTGAAACTTAATGAGTTGCAGCAAGGAGACCTTAGCTAGCCTTGCCTAGAAAGAGAAACCGAACAGAACACAAGCCAAGTACAAATGCACCAATGCTTACGTGCATCCCAAGAACTGACAGGACCTAAGAATATGCAAATAAAAATTATTTAAGAATATAAAGTCAAAGCATGAAAGAGAGAAATGATTTGTCAGATAACATAGACCATAGTGCCTTCAGGAAAGGAGCTCCTGGTAAAAAGTTGCCACGGCTGATAGCTGGAAAAGGGAACCGCAAAAAGTGGTCTAATTGAGCACAGATGCTGCTTTCACCACTCACATTCATAATTAGGTCTGTTACAAGAGACAATATTCCATCTACATCAATACTTCTCTATAGCATCTCTAAGCCTCTTGACCTCAGTTTCTTTTGCAGCATCCACCTAAGTTTTTCTACACTTTCCCCCCATATGTCTGGTCTATTTATAAACTGTTCAGGTCAGGGCTATGTATTACCATGAGCTTATTAACTGACCAGCAGAAAAGAGCCCCATTCTGAGGTTCCTCCCTTGGTCCTGCTAGGCTGTAAAGAAAAATGGCCCGCAAAGACATCTAATTCACCATCGGGTAAGAGTTCAATAGTGGTGAGTAAATACCCAGCGCTTAAGTGGACAAAAATAAAATAATAAAACAGTATAAAAACATAAATACTTTATTTCCTTTGATTATAAAAAGACTAGGAGAGCCTGAAAGAAAGTGCAGTTCTACAGGAATAAGAGGGCAAGACTTATAATTCTCGCCCTGTTGTACATCTGCCCTCTTGCATGACTATCCTGTGACAGTCACGGACATATTTCTGTGTCTATAAAGCAACAATATTTGACTACTTGCAGAGAAATGTATTTTCAAGACTTACAAAACAGAACTAATTAAAACCACTAACAAGCATCACTTTAGTCTTCAAAACCTTACTTCAACAACTTGTCATCTGAATTTTGGGTTATCCCTTCTGACAAAAAAAGCCTTTTTACTCGCATCAAATTCAAGGTGAAAGATATTACGGTACTTATACATGTTATAAAAATTTACAGTGTTTCAAAATAACATCTTCCATACTTCAATGGATCAAGTTCATGGCTGTGAGTTCTTCGAAACTGTTTTCAATTTAAGAGCAATCCCACAGTGCCAGGTACTACACTCATGCATATATTCACAATTCATTTAACACTACAGCATAGTTCAGGAGTGCTACAAAAAATCCTGTGTAATCACTTGACAAATATGATACTTAAGAACATTAGTAATGTTAAAATTAAAAGAATGTTAATAGCAGTGTTCTGGTCTTACTTTTTTTCTGCCTTGGAAATGTTTTAATACACAAGTTTTCTCATCAAAATTACAGTACAGAGCTAAGTAAGTATAAGGCATGTGCCCGCTTACATACACATACGCAGACATTTATATGTATTTTTACATGAATTTTGTAGAATACAGATAAATATCTATTTCCCAGTGTTTTGCTTAAACAAAAAAATTTCTTTAACAGCAGTTGAAAGATTTATATACTAGTTCTTCTTAAAATACTTCAAGAATTACGTAAGTGTTAGGATTTAAATTTAATAACAGCAATGTAACACAACCACTGTTGCACCACAAGTGAATTTAAATATACCTGCTTCTACAGGAATTGGTTTCTCCAGGAGAAAAACTGTCTGTTTCCAGTGTGTTTTGGTACACTGGGGACCAGTTGAAAACAAGACCTGCAATGGAAGAGTTCAAGAGTTTGATCAAGAACAACATTTTTGATATCACACCACATCAATCAATTACCAAACACACATACACATGAAGTGTTTGCTACAGCAAAACAGACTCACTGCCAAACACCTTGAGGCAGAATAAAGTACAAAACCACCCTTATCTCTCAAAGATGTTTTTTAAATGCATAAGCCCAAATACTCACCTTGTTGTGACAGTTCTTCTCAAAAAATATATCAAAATAACCAGCGACTGCCTATAAACAAAAGAGGAAAATGCAAATATGATAAAGGAGTAATAGTGACACTCAAGTAAAAGTATATCATTAATATACACGTCTATTGGTGCTTCTACTCCTTTTCAAGCCTTTAATAACAGAAGCAAGGTTAGATTTATGCTTTCAAGCATGCTAGAAATCAAAATAACCCACAAACCCTAACTGCAACTAGAATGACATATGAGAAAACAGCCTTTCAGATGTGCAAACCCACAAGCATAAAATTCAGTCCTTGTCCTCTACGACTCCCATGACCCTCACTAAATGCACGCACGGTACGAGGGATCCTGCATGATGTGTTCGCTCTTTGCGTAGCTCAACACTATTTTCCACAAAAGCTCCCTGTGAACAGAGGCAGAGCATAACCAGGCAGGGAATATTTTTCTTCCTCTACTACACACACAGATACGAAAAAGATTCACAAATGTCTCATGCTGGCCTTTTCAGCAGTTAAATAGTTTCTAACAGTAACTCTCCATAGGATTCCTCAGAACACTTCTGTTCCTCCTGCCATCCCTCTCCTAACCTCAAAGAGCCTCTCTTCAGTGCATAATTCATTAGTGGGACTTTTCTTTCAGTTTGAAGAGAAATACAAAATGTCCGCACACAAAACAGTACACCGACACTATTAGTTACACAGTCTTTTAATACTGGCCTGCTTTTTTGGCAAAAAAAGTTTTGTGAGAGTCTCAGAAATTCAAAGAATTCAAATAAAGAACTGGAAGACCCTAATAAAATACCATCCACTCCACAGTTCTGCCTCTAAAAACTTGTCCATGCTGACCTTCATTTGCTTTCTACTGTCTCCTATGAAAAGGCTAAAGCAGATCAGACCGTGGGCCCAAGGCAGTTATGCTGTTGTATGTCAGCCTGAAGAAATGACCCAGAAGAGAGCTTTTGAGTAACTTCAGCTCCAGCAGCTGGGGACGCTCTACCCTGTGACAGCAGGAAGGGATTCTCCCCACGTCAGCTACAGCACACTCAAACAAGTTACGTACCAATTCGATGGCAAGTCGTTGCAAGAAAACTCACTGCAAACGACTGATAATAACCTTCCTCTCATGGCACCAGTGTTTTTCTCCTAAGTCTAGGAAACTGGTTGTTCTGAATAATTTCAGGACAAGTTCTGTAGCATGCCCTTCATTTTGACTCAGAGATAGATTGTGAAGGGGAAAAAAAAAAAAAGTCAAACATGCTCACAGAATTAAGGTAACAAACTGAAAGGCATAGGGCTTTATCATTGTGAAATATGTAATCTGAATGATAGCTAAACCATTCTGGTATTTTTCCTCTCTAGTCTAAATCCAGAACAGATTTCACTAAGGTGGTGGAGAATATAACGTGTTAAAAGCAAGTAAGAAGTAAGCCTACGCTAAAGCACCTGCATTAGCTTTTCAACTAAGGGCACCCCAGCGAAGCCTGGCAAGTTCCAAATTCCAACGTGGGCAAATATTCTTAAAAAAATGAACCAAGGAGACACTGAGGGACCTTCGTGACAAATGAGCACCAGACATTGGAAACGGTGGTTCTTTCATCCCCTAAGTAAAGTCCTATCACTCAGTGTTGAGAATCTCATTCCCAAGTGAATTACAGCCTTGTCTCCAATATGCCTTTTTGAGTAAAGATTGAGAAGGTTTTGACAAAGCTTTATTGACCCATCAGACTACTTTTATTGATGCACAATCTTTTCTGGACATTAGTCAGAGATCTACTAAAACACTGAAAAATATTTTTCAATCATCAGGTCAATACTGTTGATACGCTTACAAGTAAGACCTAGGATATGATTACTGGAGAAAGGAAAACAAGAGTGCCACAACAAAAATACGGTAAGAATTGAGGGGAAAAAAATTGGCTTCCAGAGAAAATGAGACAATCAAGCTACATTTTGGACCAAAAAGCTATAAGTTCCAAGCAGACACACCATAGCTAAGGTGAATGCAATTATCTATACACTTGGTAGCAAGAAGTAAAAGAAAATACCCTACATGCTACCCTGAGAAAACGTCCCCGAGTTAGCATTCTTTTGGGATCAAGTTCAGGCTGAAAAGAAACTGCAGTTACAAAAGCAAGGAAACTGTGCCCTGCTATTTGCCACCTCCTGTGCTCAGGGAAACAGGACTTGTACACCTTCTGTAAGCGACCAGGATAAATAACCACCTTACTCCTTACAGAATCAATGATTTCCCTAACTGAAACAACCTGAAACACTGAATTTGACTATCTAAATCAAAAGATAGTAACAGTAATTATTACACGTGACAAAGACCACCTTATGCAGAGCTCCATGGATTACAGAGTTCAAGAGTTCAAGGGATTACAGAGAAGAGTTGTACATTGATCCATTAAATTCTTTTCGAACCAACTAAAAAAAACACCCCCACACACACTTGGTTTGCTGATTTTTCTTTGTGAAATTGGTTACAGCTATGTAATTTGTTTTTAATAAACATTTTTAGGCAACCTGCCATCATTCACCAACACTGTGTTTCATCTCCAGATAGATATCTCTCCCCTCGTATTTTAAATCTTTGAGAAAACAAAAAGTCTAATACCAAACCCAGTAGCTACTGACCAGCTGCAAAGTTTTTCTAATGTTCACTACGGCAGCTATTCTACAAGCCAATTACAGTTAAGGAAAAACAGAAAGTGAAAATGCACGGATTAAGTATATCCCACTTTGATGCACACAGTCTGTGGCTTACCCTGTAAAACAAGAAACCAAACCAAAAGTTTAAACCTGCTATTCAACAGACGTAGAGTTACTTGCATGTAACTAGGTCAAGGTAAGGTCAAGTCTATCCTAAAGCCTCCCAGTATCTCCAGCCTAAATTAACTACCTTCTTTCTTTCCTCTTCTTGATTTCACATGGAAGATTTGATGTGCTAGATTGCACGTGTTCCCCTGCCAACAACACAGCACTTTAGAAGGCATTCCATTTATCCAAATTATACATTATTTTCACAAAGTTCAGTTCTATTTCTGAACAGACACGTTATAGGAATTATTAAATTCACCAGCTCTTCTCAAGACAAGGGTTGTTCTGTATGGTCCTCTATAGCATATGTACACTTACATGCTCGACGAAACGCTATGCTATAGTTAAATTTTTAAATATACTGTTGCCTTTTTGAGATCTTTCTGCTTTTGAGCTGTTTTGTTATATTTGACTTGCCCCAGGCCGAAGGGATCTCAAGCCAGCTACACAAATACCTACAGACTCATTAAAACGAGCACACCTGGCCTTCCTAAAACCCACCAGAATATTCTGTAGAACAAGAAAAGCAATCAGTAACAACAGTCATAATGAGTTTCAAGGCTGAGATGGTCCTGGGCCTATATTAAAGTTTAAGTTGGTAAGTAATTAGCTACTGATACTGTTTTCTCCATTTCCTTCAACAACTCCTAGCACCCATTGCAATACATCCGTGTACGAAACTCATCATTCAATTAAAAGTTTTATCAAAAGAAATAGGCTGGGCTGCTTCTATGCCAAAATACAGGGAGGGCATGCAGGATCTCATCGTAGCTCTAAAACCTTTTTGTAGAAAGCAAGCAAGCAAAGAAGGAACCCAAGAGAAAGGGAAACTTCATATTTGCAGTTAATCTAGAAAACCTTAGCCTAAAGAATGGATGGGCCTATGTCAAAAAGGAACTTTGTTCTTCACACCCAATTTAATGATTTCTTCATACCAGAAAAGAAGCTGACAGCTTCTTACAACCACTCAAGCTTTGCCTTAAGCAATCTAGGAATTCCAAGAATAGACCATTATAGTCTTACTATGATGGTCTGATTTTATTCATCTAGCAGAAAATAAGTACAAATGTTAACAATTAATTCCTACCACAACATCTTAAATCCAGAGCGTATATTTTTTTTTTTGTTACAGCTCAATTTTATAAATCTTTTCATGTTCAAAGTAGTCAACTATTCTAGGAGTAGCAAACATTTAATTTTCAAAAAATTCGTAAATGACACCGCATTTCTAATACAGAAAGAAAGTTTTCTTTGCCTTGTCAAAGGCTTTAGTAAAGCTTTTGACACCATTTCCCACAGCATTCTCCTGGAGAGACTGGCTGCTCACGGCTTGGATGAGTATACTCTTTTCTGGGTAAAAAACTGGCTGGATGGCCAGGCCCAAAGAGTTGTGGTAAGTGGAGTTAAATCCAGTTGGCGGCCAGTCACAAGTGGTGTTGCCCAGGGCTCAGTACTGGGGCCAGTTCTGTTTAATATCTTTATCCATGATCTGGATGAGGGGATTGAGTGCACCTTCAGTAAGTCTGCAGATGACACCAAGTTGGGCGGGAGTGTTGATCTGCTGGAGGGCAGGAAGGCCCTACAGAGGGACCTGGACAGGCTGGATCGATGGGCCGAGGCCACCTGTATGAGGTTCAACAAGGCTCAGCGCCAGGTCCTGCGCTTGGGTCACAACAACCCCATGCAATGCTACAGGCTTGGGGAAGAGTGGCTGGAGAGCTGCTTGGCAGAAAAGGACCTCGGGGTGTTGGTCGACAGCGGGCTGAAGGAAGATTAAGTCCTCCCTTCTTGTAAAATTTAACACATGCAGCTAAGCAGCAAAATATAAGGAAAAAGAAAATCACTTACAAGTGGCATACTAGAAGCAATCACAGACACAAGCATATTAAAATGAAATATAGGACTGGCCCGATTTTTATTAAAGGTGGCATCTTTTTTACAAGAAATCAAACTAAACAATGCCCCCATAAATTCTAGACGATGTTTCACAACTACTGCTTTGTTTGGTGGATTGGTTTTTTTTTTTTTTTTTTTTTTTTTTTAAGCATAATGATAACAGTTATTTCTTCCATTGCAGTTTTCCTCATCTTTTTGCTCCACCTTTGATAGCTCATTTACAACTTCACCAACGACTAATCAACAAGAACTTCAGCCTTCTCTGGAATAATCTTTCAAGTGCCAGTCTCTTGAATACCATCAAAGAGGAAAACAAAAATAACGA